CCTCGGGAAAAATCTATGTCCGATTCACTTCTTCCCCTTTGTGTGATCGCTCCGTTTCTCGTCGTCTACTGTCTTCCCATCCCTTCAGCACACACATAAGTGAGTGACAAAAAAATCATCGTCATCCCTTCGCTTCCGCACCATGATCAGATCTCTCCTTTTTTTTTTTTTTTTYTTTTTCTTTTTCAGGCAGTTGTCGTCTTACCTGCACATCAGATCAGACAAACAAATTCAAAACCAACACGATGCAAACCCATCCTCAAGTCAGGCTCTCATTCACACGCGCATGCACACATCTCCTCTACCTTTTCAATGAATGCTTAAAGAACAGGGTCAAGCAAGTGCGGGTTCACACAGGTGTGAAGAGGACCGAGTAAGACTAACTGACCTTGAGTGAAGTTGAACCAAAGATAGCAAACGACCCACTCAAGAAAGCCGTATAAACCACACTCCAAATGAGAAGATGGTCGCAGTAAGCTGTCAGAAAAGTGATCCACACCACTCCCTCAAGGATCGCCCACTGACACACAACCCCCTCAGTATCTTTGCACTGTCACCACTTGCGACCAGTACCACTATGCCACCACTGTGTCGAAGCGCCGCCGCCGCAATATGCGGACAGCACAACGTCAACACCACCTGAAAACACACCCCCTCTTAATGACACCCCTCAAAATTGTCGTCGCCGCCGCGAAGACCGGACAACATCTTCACACCAATGCTAAAAAAAACTGCTGCTGCCGCAAAATTTTGGCAGCGCTTCCGCATCGCCGCCGCAAAATTTCGGCAGCGCGTCCACGTCACCGTCAAAAAAACAGCTGCCGCCGCAAAACTTCAGCAGCGCTTTTGCACTACCGTCGAAAAAAACAGCTGTCGCCGCAAAATTTCGGCAGCGCTTCCCCGTTAGCGCCGAAAATGCATAGCCGTCGGCGCAAAATTTCGGCAGCGCTTCCGCACTGCCGTCGATAAACCCGATGTCGCCGCCGTGCTGAACAAACAACACCTCCCCTGCGCTCCACCTAGTGCTACGGCAGCTATGGCTGCCCTCTCTCTCGTGCTCCCTGCAGACCTCCAGCGCTTCCCTCTCTCTCTTTTCACCTCGCTGAGATGACAGCTATGGTTGTGTCCCACAGCTATGGCCACCTCCAACAGTCCTCCCCTCTCTCTTTTGCAGTCCTCCACTCATCTCCACCTTACTCTCCAGCAGCTCCCTCACAGCAGCAGCCAGCATTCAACCAAGTAGAATGCCAGCACCACCAGCCACAACTGAATGCTGGCTGGCTGGCTGCTGGTTGTTTTATAGTTGGCTGGAGGGTGTGGGCAGCAGCTTTGCCCCCAGCCAAAACTCAGAGCGAGGCCTGACCCTTGATCTATGACGAGATCAAGGGCAGAGAAACTTGATGTTCCCTTAGGGGAACCAAGTTCCAGGCTTCGGTAATGCATCTGGCCGCTACCCTCGGCCAGACGCAGCCCCAACCGGTTGTATAGAGCCAGGTAGAGCAGACTGTTGGAATTCAACAGTCTGCTATCATCTCAAGGTCCAGAAGCTTCCACTGCTGCATCTGGCCCTGCATCGCGGATAGATTCGCAACTTTTTTTTTTTTTTTTTTTTTTTTTTTTTGAGGGGGCAGCTCGTTTTCAAAACGAGAAGCCTCTCTCTCTGTGTCATTTCACAGAGTCGAACTAGAGTCAAGCTCAACAGAGTCTTCTTTCCTACTGCCCCCATGCGCCCGTACCCGGACGCCTACGGCGCCAGGTGCAGGCGGCGGTCTGCAGCCTGTTCTCGACGAACAGACGCAGACCTTTTGGCTRTAAGGCCAAAGTGGGACGGCGTATATTTCCATGTTCTAATCGAAGGTTCATTCGATTTTGCTTGTCCCACTCAGACTGTAGGGGCGCAGCCTCCTGATGAGTCGGTGAAAGTCCGACGAAACAGTCTGTCAAGTTTTTCTCCCTCCTTTTCTCTCTCTCTCTCTCTCTCTCTCTCTCTCTCTCTCTCTCTCTCTCTCTCTTCCTCTCTCTCTCCGTGTGGGCATCCCGACAGTCGCAGTCGTTGCCAACTATGGACGAGTTGTCGGGGCAGCCTCAAACGTGCGCAGAGGGACCCTCGTAACTCCAGTACAAGGTCCAAAACCCACGTCCCGAACTCAGCCGCATTMCCACGACAGATTCATTCGATTTTGCTCATCCTATTGCTGAGGTGACAGCCCGTTCGTAAAAAAGGAACGGGCACTTGCTAATTTTTACTAAAAGAAAAACAAAAACCAACGAAATCTAAAAACAAAAAAATCTAAAACGAATCTAGAAAAAAATAACAAAAAAATAATAAAATAAACTTGAAAAAACAGTCGCCCATTTTTCAGGGCGYTGTCACGTACAGTGGGGCTGAAGTGCCCCTGATACTCCGCTGTGCGCCATCTGGCGCTTCATTGTAGTTTGAGTTTTAGTTTTTTTTTTTTTTACACTCCGTTGGCCTAGCCAACGGTCACGTCGGGGTCACAGTACCCCCACGAACTGTTGAAATACAGATCCAAATTCGATCCCTGATGGGATCGAAAGAAAAATTTGGACTGTTTCTGGATTTATGCGTGTCATCCTTGCGCAGGGGCCATGTTAATCTCGGCGCGGCAGATCTCAGCCGCGAGATTTTGATGATCGCACGACCGAGATCGGCCGCGCCCGTTTGCCTTGGGCTGCTCCAAAAGGAGCTTTGCCCAGTAGGCTGGCATGTCAGATTCGCTCCCGGTATCTGCCGGGTGAGAGTTTGGTGTGGTAACCTACTGGGCTAGCTGCTATCGCGACAGTGATAGGAGCAGCTCTCCTATAAGAAGAGCTTGGCCCAGCCAATGTCCCCTCATTCCGCGGCCTTGCAGGCCCTGCCTGCCCATAGCCTTACAGGTCCGGCCTGCCTGCTTGTGGCCTTGCCAACCCTGCCTGCTTGCCTGTCTGTGGCCCTGCTGGCCCCGCCAACTCACGGCCCTGCACGCTCAGTTGGCCGAGTGACCTTGGCACCGGCCTTAGAATTAAACTCCCCTTCCTATTCCCCCTGCGTCGCGGCTTCATACCCGGCGCACACCTCTTTTTAGCTCACTTAGGACAGCCGCGCGACATTATTTTTGGTAAAACAGGTTTAACTTTAGTCTTTTCATGACCGCGCAACACCGCGGCCCTGTCGGGAACCATGGACGACAGGCCGCACTGCCGACTCCCACTGTTTTAGAYGAACGTCAATGACGTCACACGTCAACGACGTCCTACGTCATCGACTTCAGGCTTTAGGTTTCTTAGTTATTGGGTTGGTCTGAATAACCTTTGGCAACGTCAATCTCATCAAGTCTTTCAATCCAAGCAAGGGTCGGGCAGTGTCTGACCTTGAAAAACCCGGGCAGAAACCCTTCCAGGGGTTCTGTCCCGACATCGCAACCTCACGCTCTATGCTGTCTTTCGTTCGGAGTGTTAGTCGTGCGAAAAGAGGCCTAGAAAAACAGCAAGATGGGGTGTGCCAAGGATTTTTGGAAATTGAGTGCGGGGATACAGACAGAACTGAGACCCCCCGTGTTGGTCCGATGAAGTAAGTCAATTGCTTTCGCGCGTCGAAGGATGCGCGCGCGGGCAAGGCGCGAAGAGAGAAAAATCCAAATTCAATCCAAAAAGTATTGTCGGGCTTCCCACCGTGCTACGGCCCGTTGTTTAGAACAGAAAGGCTCGGGCACGCTTCACGTGTCTCGTTTTCGTATCAAATCCCGTCGTCGTTCGCTGGTCAGTTCCGAGTCTGACGTGGATGGTCTCAGCCGCGTGACTCTTTCTTTATGCTCGTCTTCACTCCGCACACGGTAGTGGAAACCCCTGGATTCGTAGCGCTCAAAACGTTGACATTCGATGCATAGAGTGCACGGACAGTGGGGTTCTACTGCCATCCACAGGATGACGATCAACTCGTTGAATGGCAACAAAATTAAATAAGGTGGGAAGTGCGTATCAATAATCACAAACCCGGCCTCCACGAATCCGGAACAACGGTTGGCCGGCGGGAAGTAATATTGCCCGCCGATTTGCGGGACAGCTTCTCGTACGTCCCAATCACATACACGTGTCCTTTCCTCGTTGTAGGGACAAGGCCGTGTTGAGATGGGAGGTGGGGGAGGCTGGCGCCCGATCGGAGGGTACTTGCCAGTCCGCATATTAATCAATTGCAAGGACCTTGAGACGTCATTAAGAAAAGAAAACACTCTCCCAACTCACACTCTTTTCGACATGATAGAGAGAGAGAAAACACACACATCAGCTTGATCATACATATGGCTAAGGGACCGACCCGCGACTCAGTTTTTAGTGAGCCAACATAACGTTGGTCCCCGGCGCCTTGTTTCTCAAGGCCGCCCGGTGGCTTGGCTGCTGATGTCGTGCACCATAAGGCAGATGGCATGCGCAGTGCATTCGAAACTACAGATCTAAACAGTCTTGCATTCTCGAACAAAATCCCGACGACAATCGTCTAATCAACACAAAAAGAGTCACGCGTCTCCATACATGCATTCACTGTGGAAGGTGCAAAAATGAGACATGCATAGGAAAAGATGGGTCRCATTACACAGTACACACGCATCYACTGTTCACAAGACAAGAAGACGGGGTCCCTGCGTAGGAGGATTACCSAGGAAACTAATGGAAGAGTTCCGGAAGAAGTTCTTTCAYACAAGGAGGACAYACAAATTTACTTCTATCAAAGAGAAGAAGAGAGGCAAAYGTCGGGRCACATCATTATTKCAAAGTAGAGAAGGGARAGAGGAGAGGGGGGGAGGGGGGGAGGGGGGGAATAGGGAGGAGAGTCAAGATAGGGGATGACCAGATCTGGAAGAGAGACATTYGGCGCARTSGCCGYACACTCACGCCAAAGATAAAGATCCGCAACCAAGGCGCATTCRCCGTTAATTCCAATATGGCCCTGGGCCAATCACTCACTCAACTCCAATCATCGATCCTCATACCCGCACCGACGATCCCGACCGTCGCGTGCTAACTCCCACCGTTGCGATCGTCACCCCGCTGTCGTAAACTCGACACGGTTCGCCCGGATCCCACAGTCCGTCGTGGCGATCAAGCGCGCAACCGGCCAGCCTATCGTCAGCCCGACAGGACTTTCTGACTCGCATCCAAACACTCTGCCTAGCCACTGCTTCCCAGAAGCTGGCCTAGGAGTCGAGAACGTAAGAGAGAATTGCGTACGAGCTTGCGGGTTTTATAGTTGCGACAAGGGAGGTAGAAGGGGGAGAAAGTGAAGGGAAAGCTGAGGGGTGAAAGGAGGAGTAGGAGGAGAAGACTTTGAGAAGAGTGCTTTGTGAACGCCATGTTTATCCCTCGGAACTCGAAGTTCAACCAATCAGATTCGTCGCCCAATAGGAAGGTCCTATTGCTCCACGCACCTGATTGGCGAACGGGAGTTGTCGATGGATCGACCGGGCGTCATGCGCCGGACTCAGAGGGTGAGAAGAGAAAAGGCACGAGAAGTAGCGCAAAACGGGTCCAAGATTCAGATGATCAAGAAGGGAAATGGGCGTGCAAAAAGCAAGGCGGGAGAGAGAGAGAGAGAAGGAAAACAGTTACAGGGAGAGAGAAAAAGGAGGGAGAAGAGAAAGGAGGCGCGGGAGGGAGCGATGCGGGGGACAGAGCGGAGAAAGCTTGCATACGCGGCGCCGTCAACAAAAAGAGAGAAAAAGGCACTGAAACAGTTACAGCTTGCTTCTATCCTAATTCAAAATTGAAATTACCATATCCGCATGCGAAAAAGCGACGCGGGAAAAGAAAATCCTACGCCTGTTCGTATTCACGCAAAATTCCGAGAGTTTTCCCCGACGCGACCAAGAACATTCACACATACAAAAAGGACACGTCGAAGTTCCGCTTATCCCGGAATTTCCAGCTGCCGAGCCTAATTCCTCATGCGCTCGCTAAGGCGCACGTAAATTTCCATGTATTTCCCGACTTGCAAAAAGGAAAAACAGGACCCGGAAATCGAAAAAAGCTTCCAGAAAAAGGAAATGTGGCATCCGAAAACAAGAAAACGAAAGGGGTTTTTAATGGGGTTGGTATGATACACAAACAGGGGTATGAAAGATAGCATGGGTTCGGGAAGCAGCTCGTCACATATGTGACGCGCAAGGGGTTCCAAAATTATGCGATCTACTGATTGCATGTCATGGCGGAAAAAGAGAGAGAGAAGGGGGAGAACAGAGTGATGCATGAGGAACGAAGCGTATCAACAAGCGATCCAGCCAGAGTGCATGTTGACGCCAACTTAAATTGCAATCCCCTGTCTGGTGCTGGAATCCTTGATGGTCATCCAGGTGACGCCATCATCGTCCGCTGGTTCTCCGTGTGCTCCGCACCCCAGCTGGTTGCTGCCCGTCGAATCAGAGCGTAAGTTGACGTCATCGTCGATGGCGTGATCTTCGCGAAGCTTACTAATTCGTGTCGTCTTCCCCTGCTAGTGAAGAAAGGAGAGAGAGAGGGGCGGGGGGGGGGGGGG